CTGTGAAGTGGTTCTGTAGAAGCACAAGGAAAGGGCCCTGGGAGCTCAGAAGAGAGAGCAATTGGGTCCCCTGTGGTGGGAGGGGGTAGGAGGAAATCATAATATTAGTAACAGCCTATATTTGCTGAAAGTTGACTGAGTCTCAACACTGTATTGTTAAAAGCATTTTAACAATGCTTAACAATGCTCATGTAATTACTCAGTGACCCACGAACAGATGAGAACATTGGGGCTTACAGTCAAGTAGCATGTAACGTACTCAAGCTTAGCCCATGTATCTTGAAGAACGACTAGGATTTGGGCTAGAGTTCTAGGTTCTTGACCCTCGGGGAAGGGTCAAGGCCCAGCGTGGGCAAAGGCAGGGAGCTTTCATTAATTTTAAAATCCATCTTCCATGGATTAAAATCTATCTTTCATGAATATTAAAATCTATTAAATACGCATATTTAAATTCTGTATTTCCTCAATTCAAATCATATGTGGGTAACTTTTTGAAATAAAACGAAGCTACTTTAAATGTTTTTATTTTGTTTTGTTTTGCTAACCAACAAGAACATAAACATATCTGTACACTCTCATGCCTTGGTATTCAGTCTAGGCCGTGGTCCTCACACTTTACCATGTATCGCAATCCTCTGAGAAGCTTATAAATGCAGCTGACCAGGCCCAGCCTCAGGGATTCTGACTCAGTGGTCCTGAAGAAGGGCCTGGGAGTCTAAATTTTATTTAGCAAGGGTTTTATTTAATTCTGATGCAAGACTTTTAGGATCAGTGGTCTCTAGGTCCTTCTGAATCACTGTTTTCCTTTAGCAGGCAGACTAACAACATGTTATTGAGAGTTAGATCAACTGGGCTTTTTTGGTAGCTCGGTATTTGGTGCCTGAGTCCTTCATGATATAAGAATTGAGCAGACCTGTTCACCCTTAAAAGGAAGGGAAACTCTGACACATGCTTAAGACAGATAAACCTTGAGGACATAACGCTAAGTGAAATAAGCCAGACACAAAAGGACAAATACTGGATGATTCCACTTGCATGAAGTACCTAAAGTAGTCAGATCCATAGAGACAAAAGGTAGCATAGTGAATGAGTTCAGAGTTTCAGTTAGGAAAGATGAAAGAGTACTGGAGATGAATCAGGTGATGATGGTTGTACAACAATATGACTCTATTTAATGCCACCGTACTATACACTTAAAAATGGTTAAAACGGTTGGGCGTGGTGGCTCATATCTCTAATCCTAGCACTCTGGGAGGCCAAGGTGGGAGGATCGCTTGAGGTCAGGAGTTCAAGATCAGCCTCAGCAAGAGCGAGACCCCATCTCAACTAAAACAAAAAATAGAAATTAGGGCCAGGCGTGGTGGCTCATGCCTGTAATCCTAGCACTCTGGGAGGCCGAGGTGGGTGGATTGTTTGAGCTCAGGAGTTCGAGACCAGCCTGAGCAAGAGCAAGACCCCGTCTCTACTAAAAATAGCAAGAAATTAATCGGACCACTAAAAA